AGGGGCTGCCACCCGCCTACCGGTGCGGCCTGCGACACCCACATTCTCAGGGCCGTGGGCCGGGGGCGCCGCAGGGCGCGGGGTTCCCAGAGGACGGCAGCCTCTGCGCTGGACTCCGCTTCTCCCCTTGGAAAGGGCTGGCTGGTTCTGCGGTGAAAACCAAAGGGGCTTGTTGTAAAAATTCACGCCTTTCAAGTCTTCATGCCCGACTTTTAGGACACATCGTGCACGGAACTGCAGCGTAGTCTTCCTCGTGTTCTTGCTCCCCCTTTTTTTTGCTTCTGTTGACAGGTGGACTTGCCACCATTGATTGGAGCAGGTCTGTCCCCGAGGCCGTCTTCCTGCGTGGCTTCGGGGTTCACTAAGGGGGACCCTGCGATGCCAGGTGGGCAGGTGAAGCTCCGGTTAGTAAGATGAAGAGACCAGGCGGGAGTCAGTGAGGGTCTCGTGATAGACAGACATGTAAACTCATAATTAGAATGTTAGGGACAGCTTTTCAGGTGAAACTTACGTTTCCAACATTTTTAATCCTGTGTGGAGTCGTCATAATGAACAGCGAAGGGGCGCTTCCCATGGGCACTTCCCATGCGCCAGCCCGATGCAGACTAACTTGCTGAACCCTCCCAGCAACCCGTGCGGGGCTCCAGTCTTCATTTACGGGAAAAGCGGGTTCACAGGATGTGGGCATCCAGCTACCAGGTGCAGTTAGAGTCAGGCTCTGGTCTGTTTTCTTAACTACCCGATAACTCCTATTTTCTCTCGGCTGCATTGTTGACCCAAGAGAGACAAAAAGAGAAAAATTAAGACCTAAAGAGAGAGAAGAATTAGTCGTCCCGACTGGCCATGGCAGGTCGGAGGCGGCTTTCTGTTATGCACTGAAATCTCGCCTGACATCTGGCGGTTTCTCTTGCCATGTGAACTGGTGGGCTCAGCAGGTGCCCAATGCCCCCCTGTGCTGCCCAGCGTTATCCGTGGTTGTGTTCGTGTCATTGGTGGATTCCTCGTCCAGGCGCTCTTGGCTGACGTGGTCTGAATGTTGCATGATGTGGAACAGCAGAACTCTAGGGCACATTCGGAAGGAATTTTATTCCTCCTTTGATTGAGTGCATGTTAGAAACTTATACCCAATGCACGTACTGTATTTGGCAAGTAAAGGTGTCCTTCCGTGCTCCTTATTGCACTAGGGGAGAAGTTATTGGAGGAACGGGGTGGTACTCTGGACGGGGCATCTAGGCTTTCATCCGATCACTTCATATCGTTTGAGTGCCACTTATGGGCATTCTCAATGAAAGATGGCCTAACCACTGAAACTTCAGCTTGAATTGAGAGTTCCAAATAGATCTAAACATGCTCATTTGTCTCTGCTATTGTCTAACTTTCCATTTGTATAGAGGAAAATTATATACAGAAGAATCTTTACAATTCTCATTCCCTACTTATATCTTACTAAGCTGGATTTTAACACATATTTTGGGGGTTCTTCCCTTTGGGCCAGAACTTATTTGTTAAGAGATAAACTATCCATTCCCTATCTTCAAAGAACCGAGTCTAATAACAGGCAATTGCAATACAGCATTAGGGAAAGTGTGCGTTGAGAAAGTGTACTAAGGTGGTGTAGCTTCCAGATGTATCCATAACCTAGCAGGCCTTGGTGTGATTGCTGGGTTTCAACATCTGATTCTTATATAGCTTCAAATTGGTTTATGAATATGGTTTATGGGGTACCAGATCACACATTCAATTTGCTAATAAACTATGTAAAAACTATTATACTACTATATTAATTTATGAGGAATGCAACAAGCTAGGATAGTTGACCTGGCTGGTCTTCACCTTGACCAAATCACAATGAAAGCCCGATTCAAACTATAATCGGAGGACTGTTTAGTAAATAGGGAATGAAAGCAACAGAAATGGGTTTGATGCTTTCCAATGCGTCTTCATAGCTTGGGTTGTGCTAAAAAATAGTCATTTGCCTCTCTTTTCCTTTGCTAAGAAATATCTTTTGATATGAACCATTCTTTCATTCATGGTAATACTGTCAAGCAGGTCTCATCTTTGGAAGATATTTTGCTCTTTGTTTGCTGAGTCATTATGCTTATTTCATAAATTTACCCTAAGATGATTTTAACCATTTTTGTGTGCAGTTCAACAGTATTAAGTACATTCGTACTGTCGTGCAACCATCACAACCATCCATCTCCAAAACTTTTACATCTTCCCTAAATCTGTATCCATTAAACACTAATTCCCTATTACTGTGGGACCCTTTTCTCCCCACCTCCTCTGGCCTCTGGCAACCACCCCACCACTGTTTCTGTTTTTATGACTTTGACCATGAAAGGAAAACCATCATTTAACAGCACTACATGTTGAACACTTGAGGTTTTAGTGACTGCCATTTACTTGCTTAATTTTTTGCCCCATGGCATTTATTATTACATTAAATGATATGTATTTATTTATTCATTTATTATCTATTCTCCAGCTAGACTATAAGCACATAAGGGAAAGAACTTGGTTTGTCTTGTTTACAAACTGTATCCACAATACCTGAAATAATACCTACAGCAAATATCTATTGAATAAATATTTTTAAAACATGGTGAAAGTGGGAAAAATAGCAGAAGGCCTGGATTACAGCCAGATTTCTATCTCTGAAGTATGTGCAAAAATAGTAAGCCTTCGGAGATAAAGTTTAAAAATTAAGAAAAACAAAGTACTATTTTAAACCTTTTTTTTTTTTTTTTTTTTTTTTTTTTTTTACAAATTCAGTTGCTGAAAATACACCTTGAAAAATAACAGTATAACACTGATGACTGAATTTGGAGATTTTGCAATAATCCTACACCAAAGAAAATTTTTATTGAAGTATTTAAAAATATACGGAAAAAAGAATACACAGGAAAAGACAAACATACAGAGGCATTATCATACAGCTGATTTCTAAAGTCAATACTTTTGAAATATAAAACAATTATCCCCAAAAGTCAGTTTACTGAAACAAACTGATTTTAAGTTGGTCTATAACTTTTCATTCAATTTTGTTTACAAATGTTCCTAGGGTTTTCAGTTTCATCCCATATCAGATCTGTTTTTTGGAAATACTTCTCAAAGTTGTATATAGTTACTTCTTGCAATTAATGTCAGCAAATATAGGGAGCTTCTCTAGTCACAAGAATTCAGTATGGCTGCTGCTCTGGAAATAGTTACCATATTGGGTTACCTACATGAAGACTCAAGTACTGAAAGTCCAAATATTGGGGAAAGTATGAGGACTGAGAGCAGGAGGACTAAGGAAAGATGGTATTATCTTTAACTGCAGACCTACTGGAAAAGACTCCACTAATTACTTTGGTACTAGTGCTAGAGAAGCAGTTGCTGCCAAACCACAAGTTGGCTATATAACTGTCCATTTTGTATTTCCTTTTCTAAAGAATGGATTAAATAATTAGATTGCTCAATCAAATAAGCAGAGACTTTTAAGTTACAATACAGTTTAACTGTGAAATAAATTATTTTATTTAATTGGTTTAGCAGCCTTGGGTCTGCAAAGGAAGCAAACCCCATTTTGTTTCAAAATTAGAAGGCTGACTCAGAGGCTGTTTGTAAGATGCCTAACTATCTTCTATCGCCAGTCAGTCTTGAACATGGACCTTCATGAACTCAGTAACTTAATCAATGTGAAAATGATCTCATCCCTCAACATACAATGTTGAGCCAGCAAAATGAGGGGAAAAAAAAGTACACTCACAAGTTAGGAATCGGCTTATATAAAACAAGAGAGCATATATCCTCTTATACAGCACAAGAGGAATATATATGGCAATAAAAACAATCTACATTAGACTTGTAAGAGATGATTTTGGTTTACATGTAAGTTGGCTTAAACTGACCATGACGGAATGATTACCATAGTGGAATGATTGGAAAGTTTCTTCTCCTAACGTAATGCCCATTCATTATAAACTAAGCTGGTCTTAGTATCTACTACACCCTCATTTTATAGCCATTTAACTTACAAGCTGGGCCTGCCCAGCCTCCCTCTAAAGCCTCTCTTAAGAAAGGTACCAGATGCATTAAGCACAGGCAACCTCCAGTAAGAATCTGCACTTCAAACAGCATATGAAGAACCAGCACTAGGCTCTCCAACGTAAATACCTCTCATTTCACACTATCATGGGAGCAGTGCAGTTTACTGCCCACTCCTTCCTTACAGGCGACTCAGCAGCTGTAAACGCTTTTCAATACTTGTTAATTCCAAAAATCCGAACACCATGTAGCTGTGGCACTTTGGGAATCAGCACACTCAGGAGAGAAGCTGTGTTCAGCATGAAGTGAGTTGGGTCATACTTGGTATAGAAACTTGCCAGAAAATATCTGTAGAAATAAAAGTTAATATATTTAACGTCTAAAAATAAAATTACTTATAATGAAGGCATATGTGCACATTTTCACTTCTGCAATTCTGTTAAATGCATTTAATAAAATATGTTTGCTACTTAGCATCCTTTACGGCAGGCTTTCAAACGAGGGTTCATGTGCTCCCTGAAATTTCAGGTGGAGTTTTATATTTGTGTGTTTCTGAAGAGAAGATTCAGATCCAAAGATACATCATAGTCTCTAAGGCAGCGGTTCTCAACCTGTGGGTCGTGACCCCCTTTGGCGGTCAAACGACCCTTTCACAGGGGTCGCCTAAGACCATCCTGCATATCAGATATTTACATTATGATTCATAACAGTAGCAACATTACAGTTATGAAGTAGCAACGAAAATAATTTTATGGTTGGGTCACAACATGAAGAACTGTATTTAAAGGGCCAAAAGGTTGAGAACCACTGCTCTAAGGGTTCTGTGACCCACCAAAAGGTTAAGAACCACTATTGTGAAGTTGAGAAAAATGGGGTTAGTGCATCAGTACAATTAGTGTCTTTGAACAAAAGCAAATACTTGGTTGCCCTTTTTAATGGTCTCATTTCCATACTGTAGATAAACAAGTCTACAACCAGTTTAACTGGAAACTTGAAAGACACTGTTGTAAAATTCCAGTTGTTTTGCTATAACTGAACATACACATACATATTCAAAGACACCCAACACCCGAGAATTTAACAAGCCTAACCCTACTGTAAGGCCATAAATCATCGAGTCAGAAAACCTAGTTTTACCCAAGCACTACATCAGAGCACAGACACATCATCTGGCCCCTAACAACAGTACCCTAATATAGACAAGATTTAGAGAATAAAATATCATAACTAAGAAGTTAGTTTGCATATGGGTGTTTCGTATTTTTAGAGCACACAGGAAAGTATTCTTACAGCTTTTCTCCTAAGTATTGTTGTTAGTTTCTCGTAAGGGAGATAACTGTTTAAATATGGTTAAAAACAAAAGCTATTTTCAAATGACTAAAAATATCAGAGCTGTGCACATCATTTTCAGATCTAAATTAAGAAATTCTAGTGTCTTAAACTTACTTTACAAACTATATAGTCAGAAAATTCTTGAGAATAATCCATATTCCTTAATCTTTACTTTTAAATCCTTTCTTCCTGTTTTCATATACTTTAGCACTGTTTCCTCCATTCAATGAACAAAATAGGATACCACTTACATTTAGTAAGCTTATTTAATTTCCCATCATTATTATGGGTTTAATCTATAATCTGACATGTCAGAAATAATAAATCTTCTCAGAATGCTTTCGACTTATCATACCATAGCATATGTCCCCTTTATGTCTTTTAATGCAACGGTCGCCAATTGGTGGTCCGCGGACCACTGGTGGTCTGAAAGGTTGGCGACTGCTGTTTTAATGAAAAAAAATTGTGTGTGTAGACTATATAAAAATTACTTTACTATACAAAAAAACTTCCAAGGAGATGCAAAACCAAGTGGGAATCAGTGTGATAGTGTTTATTTGCCCAAGAATATTCTGGAAAGAGACCTGTATTAGAAGCCAGAAGTTTAGGGTTTCATCTGGGCTTTTGACTCCAACTACCTGCAAGATTTGGAGCAAGGCGATGCATCTGACTATTTCTTTTAAAAATTGGGCTAACAATTCACATCTCACCACCTGACAAATAATGATCAAATAAGAAAATGTCTTATTGTCACGAAATAGTATCAATGCTATATAGATGGTTTTAATGCTGTCTTTTCAGTTATGTAAGGAATTTAATTAGATGCCAGATATAAGGTTAAATGCTTTACAGATGTTATATCATTTAGTTCTTATAGTAGACTAGAGGCCCGGTACACGAAATTCGTGCACGGGGGATGGGGGTCCCCTCAACCCAGCCTGCACCCTCTCCAATCTGGGACCCCTCGGGGGATGTCCGACTGCCGGTTCCCGGGGGTCAGGCCTAAACCGGCAGTTGGACATCCCTCTCACAATCCAGGGCCGCTGGCTCCTAACTGCTCACCTGCCTGCCTGGTTGCCTCCAACTGCCCCTCCCCACCGGCCTCTTCGCCCCCAACTGCACCCCCTGCCACCCTGGTTGCCCCCTGCAGCCTGCTGTTCAGTAGTTTGGTCGTCCCTCACTAACCCCCCTGCAGGCCTTGTCACCCCACGCAGCCTGCTGTTCGGTCAGTCGTGATGGCCCCTGGCTTTTTATATATTAGGATGCCACAGGCTAGAATTTTATTTATGAGCAAATTAAACTGGCAAAGTGATCCAGGATTCAACCCAGGTCTAAACTCTCTATCTTCTAGACCAGTGATTTTCAACTGGTGTGCTACAAGAATGTTTAAAACATGCAGTACCTCACTATTCAGTCAGGGGCAATGATCTCTTTTCCTAGATTCTCAAATAAAAAAATGTCAACAGCCAACAATAGCCACCTGGTGTGAATGAATCGAAAGTATACTTTTTTTGGTCAGATCGGCAAAAAAATATACATTTTGGCGCGCCACACAATTTTAGTAATAAACATGTTCCATGAGATGAAAAAGGTTGAAAATCACTGCTTAAAACCATGCTTTCTTTCCCAAGGAGTTTGAACATCCAAACAGGGCAGGTGGTCAATGAAGTATGTCTGAAACTGTCCAAGCCCTAGTTTAGAGAGATCAATCTGTAGTGGACTATAAATAAGACTATGTGTTTACTTTTCTTACAAGCAACTTATGAACATGAACTGGAACACATTTGACCTGTATATCCTAGAATGTCTAGGCATACTGATGGGCGTGTTCTGTTGTCTCCATATGCTACTGACTGAAGTGAAAACTGCTTTGTTACAGTTTGTTAAAGATTTTGCCTGCAATTTATATTTTATCTGAGGTAGCTATTTATTGACAGAAGTTTGTTTTTGTTTTTTTAAAATATATTTTATTTATTTTTTACAGAGAGGTAGGGAGAGGGATAGAGAGTTAGAAACATCGATGAGAGAAACATCGATCAGATGCCTCCTGCACACTCCCTATTGGGGATGTGCCCGCAACCAAGGTACATGCCCTTGACCGGAATCGAACCTGGGACCCTTTAGTCCGCAGGCCGACGCTCTATCCACTGAGCCAAACCGGTTAGGGCTATTGACAGAAGTTTTTAACAAAGTATTATTTCTAATTCAAATTTAATCCAATAAAACAATAGCTGCCTCTCATCTAATCCTCCTCATTCCTAAAAATTTCCACCACTTACAGAATTATTGGAGAAATTGTGAAAAACTTCCGTGAAGATGTAAACTGTACTCCATAGTCCAGTTGTTCCCAGTGAGTGAGGAGCCTTGCTCTACCCTGGTCAGGAGTTTCAAAAGGTGTTCCTTTTACAGCATGCAAAAATACATACATCCCCTGGAAAACAAACACGGGAGTGTCTCATCAACAACACATACGAAAACGGTATTTGTCAGTCAGCATTAAGATAGTTCCAGACCATTGTGACAAAGTATAAGATTAACTTTCAGCTCAAGTTTTAACCTTCCACATTATTGTTTCCTCAGAGTACAATAAAACTTCCAGAGGCAGATAAATATCATTTGGTGAAAACCAGTGAAAAGTCAACCAAAAGTAACCTGCTTTCATCTTTTTTTAAGTTGAAAATAAACAAAAAGTATATCAGGGTAACTTTATATCATTACATTTACATTTTCTTCTACGACCTTTCCTGTGAGGAAATAGGGTGACATTTTCCCCAATGGGCAGGAAAAGTTTATTGTGGCATGTTAGTAAGTCTGATAATATTTATAAAATAAAAAGACAAATTAGTAAATAATAGTCATAAACAAAATCTCTGTATCAGAAAAAATGGTTTTCAAAATATTTAACATTAGAACTGTCTTTGTCCCAATAGCTCTCTTCCAAAGCAACGGAGATGGTTTGATGTAGGCACAATGTTCAACTCAACTTGCTTTTAAAGTCACAACTGTGCCTCAAAAGTGTATCTTTTGAAGTTTTAAAAAATAAACAAAATATTACTAAAAGCCAATGTGTTCAGTAATATGTTGAAATATCTAATTTTGTGATTAATTAGGAAAAAAACAATGTATACTAGATTTTTTTCCCTTGTGATTATGATACCCATTTAGATTGCTAGGTAGCGCATCACTGCAGGATCCTATCTGAGGAACTGGTAACAATAAAGTCTAAATATTATCATGACAGTTTTTCCCACTAGAAGTCATAATGTGATGTCTTTTCTACTCCTACTTTTAACAAATATATGGGAAAACACACAGAAAGATTAGTGATCTGAAATTTTACATTAGTACAGGTTAAGAGAGCCCTTGTTTTCAAAGCTTAGTCTACTTCCTATTCCATCAGGCAATTCAAAAGTTGTTTAGCTGCAATAACAGCTAAGCTATCCAGTAATGATCATGTTCAACTGGATTTAACTCAACATACATTAATAAGTTAAATGTATGCACCACAGGACATGCATGCATATATAAATTGAACAGACATACAGCCTGAAAAACGTCAATCTTCTGAGAGATGGTTAAGGGAAAAAGATGTACAAACAACTAGAATGCAGGGCAACAACTGTACAGTCAGGGCACTCAGGAGATGCAGGGGAGAAGGTTCCTTGTTGTTGAGGCAACAGCCCGATGCTACCTTGTCAACTGCCTCATCCTTGAAGGTTCAGCTCAAATGACTACTCTTTTGTGCAGCCCTCCACAACAGTAATAACCTCTTGTCTGCGTGGTTGAATTTTATTGGTAATACTTTTATTATAGCACAATACATATATTGTGCTGGAGTTGTTTACATAATGTTTGTTTTCCCATTAGCCTGAATACATCCGGAACAAGGGCTGGCATACAAAGTACTAGATATGACGCCAAGATGACATTAAGCCAAGGGATGTTTATTCTGTTACCGTAAGGGAAACATTTTCACGTGGGCTTTAAAGGAAAATATGAGACAGAAATTGTATGGTTTCAGATTCTTAGGAGTATGTTGTTGTCTACTCTAGACCACATAATGTGTTCGAATTATCAAGAGACGAACAATCCTGGTTTTCTCATCAGTATTTAGGATATACGTAATATTCAGTTTATTGTATATATCATTTTCAATGAAAAAGAATAAAACCTTATCTGGCCATATATCTTCTACTCTTATCATCATTATTATTTTAAATATATTTTATTGATTTTTACAGAGAGTAAGGGAAAGGGATAGAGTTAGAAACATCCATGAGAGAGAAACATCGATCAGCTGCCTCCTGCACACCCGCTACTAGGGATGTGCCCGCAACCAAGGTACATGCCCTTGACCGGAATGGAATCTGGGATCCTTCAGTCAGCAGGCCGATGCTCTATCCACTGAGCCAAACCCGTTAGGGCTACTCTACTATTTTTATTTTTAATAGTTTTTCTATGAAATTTTAGCAATTTATACCCACATCAAAAGAATTAGGGCCCTAACCAGTTTGGCTCAGTGGATAGAGCGTTGGCCTGCAGACTGAAGGATCCCAGGTTTGATTCTGGTCAGGGTTGCGGGCTTGACCCCCGGTGGGGGGCATGCAGGAGGCAGCTGATCAATGATTCTCATCATTGATGTTTCTATCTCCCTCTCCCTTCCTCTCTCTGAAATCAATAAAAATATATTTAAAAAGAAAAGAATTAGGAAAAAATGTAGCTCATAGTTAGCCCTTAATAAATATTTACTGACTCAAAAAGAATTCTCATTCATTTTAAAAGCTAGGCAAAAAATTTGGCAAAGTATTAATACTTCTAAGGTGAACTGTAACACCGAAGAAAAACAGTCACTAAGGGGTCCACTGCGTGGTTTCAGAAAGGCAAAGACTGTATTTTTTCTAACCAGGGATACCATTAGGTCTACTTTCCTGTATTTAAAAGCATTCAGCATGTAGTTCACATTTTTAATTGTTTTAATGTAGGCTATCTTCAAAAGAAACTTAAATCTGGAGTCACATAATTGCTACAGCTATGTCTGGTTAGGTAGGTTTTTAGTGTGGTGAACTACGTCAGCAGTTTGTTCCCTACATGTTGTCAATTTCCTATCCTTTTCCACTGCCATATACTGTGCCTCAATCTCAGTCAACCCAACTGAAAACATGAGGGAGTAAGAGGACTTCTGAAGTACATTTAATACATATGTCATAGGAGAAGGAAAAACTATAGGACAACACACACTAATTCAGCAAACACTGAAATAGGTATTGGGGATACAGAAATAAAAAATAACAAAGATAAGCTGCTAATTGTAAAACTATCATAAATACAAGAAAGCAGCGTGGTGTTCTGCAGCTTCCTGGAGGAGGTGATACTTGAGTAGAGTTTTCCAGAACAAGGAGGAATCAGGAAGAAGGCAGGGCCATTAAATAGAAGAGCTTACATCAAGGCAGAAAGGTGAGAGCAAGACGATTTTCATCATCGTTACTACGTAGCTTGTGTCTGGAGATGGGCTGTAATAAACTGAGTTCCCTTTCTTGCCTCTCCAGTTACCAAAAGGTGTTGTATTCCACAAAGGACTTGGCATTTTACTATGAATGTAACAGGGGATCACTGAAGGATTTAAACAGTGTGACTTGAGCAGACATACATTTCAAACTATCAAGCTGGAATAGAAGAAAGAAGAGGAGCATCAAGGAGACCATTTATCTATTGCAGCGATTTTCAGCCTTTTTCATATCATGGCACACATAAGCTAATTACTAAAATTCTGCGGCACACCAAAAAATACATGTTTTGCCCATTTGACAAAAAAAAAAGTATAATTTTGATTCATTCACATCGGACTATTGTTGTGTTGGCTGTTGTCTTTTTTATTTGACAATAAGGGAAAAGAGATCAGTGCCCCTGACTAAATAAGCAGATATTGCATGTTTAAAAATTCTTCCCGCACACTGCTTGAAATGGCTGATCTTTTGGAGTAATTGACAGAAAAATAAGTGCATGATTTACAGCAATGCCAGTGGGGATTAAGTTGAGAGGCAGTAAGGCAGAATGGACAGGGGTTTGGCTGAATGAATAGGACCATATAGGAAAGGGGGTCACCTGAAGACTGGATGACCACATCTGCTAGTTCGCAAGGGCAGCCCTGACTTACACCTGTTCCATCGGAGCAGTTCATACTACAGTCCCTTTACCCTCCACACAGCCTCAGTTTGGATGATACATTATATTAGTCTCTTTTCCTTTGTCATCCAGCTGTCTGGCTTGTAAGACAGTGGTGCCTTTAGATTAGGATCAAAGTCAAAGGACTAGATTGGGGGTAGTAAGAAATAGATCAGGAATGGGCTCAATTTATACTTGTTTGGTTTAAGGTGAAAGATGATCATTCTTCTAAAAGTAGAAATTGGAAATATGGAAGGATGAGGTAACTTAGAATATATAGCATAAGAAGAGATGAAGAAAAGAACCCTGGGGAAAGAAAGCAGGAAGTGCAAGAGGAAAGAGAAAAGATCAGAAATATATAGGAAAAAGCAATACCATGACCGCCAAAGGAAAAGAATTCCAATAGGCCAATAGGAGGGATCTGATTAACGACGAATATTTCAGAGAAGTTACTATTTCAAAATGGTGTTTGCCCTACCAAAATCTGTCACTGAAAATGGACCAAATAAATGCACATCGGCATGTTTTTACCACATCACCCTTGTCCTCCTCTCGTCAACTTTAAATACTCTCTAGAAGTAAAATAAGGAATATTAATTTTTAAAAATATATTTCACATTTTTCTGTCTTAATTTCCAAGGCTACATAATATGGTCAGCAGAGTTGATCAAACCTCTGATACTTTTGAGAGCTATCATATAATACAGAAGTGTGGTAATCAACTTGAAGAAGCTAAGGCACCATAAGGTCCTGAATCACATAAAATATGATTAAGCTCAAAATGTCTATACAGAAGTAGTTAAGTATACTTATAAAATTTAGAAAGACTTAATAAGGATTGAAACAAAAAAATATTCATTAGACTCCAATTAGCCAAAAATATATTACTTCTTCTGAAGTATTCTGGTCAATCAATATAATGTAGTAGCCTGAATTACAGTGTCCTTGAAATTTTTGCTAAAATGACCTACTATTTTCTAGATTCTAGAAAACCAATAGAAGGAAAAAAGTCTTACTTAGAAAAGGGCCCAATGTTTAAATATAAAGTGTAATAGAAAAATATATTCCCATTCCAGACACTAAAATCACTGAGCTGTACACTTTAAATGGGTGACTTATATTATGTGAACTATATATCGTAAAACTGTTTAAAAAAACTAAGTCATGTGTTCTTCTTCTTTATAAGAAAACTTTTAAGCTTTTTAAAAAATTGTGTTTAAGTACAGGTAACATAAAATGTACCATATTAGTCATTTTCTAAGTGTACCGTGGGGTGGTATAAAGTACATTCACATTGATAAGCAAACAGCTTCACCATCCATCTCCAGAATGCTGCATCTCGCAAAGTTAAAACGCTCCCCATTAAACAGTAACTCCCCACCCTCGCCTCCCCGTCCCTGCCCATTAAGCCTTAAGCTTCCCGTGCTCAGGATGCGGTGAGTCCGTACCAGGTTGTGTATAACATTTGTCAAGGTCCAGGCCACGGGAACGCTGAAGAAGGGGATGCTGAGCAAGACGATGTGAAGCAAGCCCACGCCCAGGGCGTACGTCAGCCATATCCCCCGGCTGTTCATGACCCGGGTGTTGGGGTTCACCTCGCTGTGGGCCACGCCAACGTTCATGTTTGCCCTGTAGGAAAGCAGTGACAGGGATCAGCACCGACATAGCTGGAACCTAAATAACCCCAATTCTGACGTGATCAAATAAGTGCTGGTACCAGGATTATTCTTTTTCCTAGCTGTTCTGACACAGAACAAACACACCCTCTCGAATATGCTACTTGCAGATGCTGACAAAGGCAGTCAAGAATTCTTACCATCTGACTTGATGGTAAGACAAACAAGACTTGTTTTTATAGTTCTTGTGGAAAAAATAAAGTTACAACCCCTTTCCTAATGACAACGTGTCTTCTAGCATGTTGGTTTTACTACATGAGATAACGGGCAGGAAAACTCAAACTGAGAGAGAACCTACATTTTCTTATGCCACGAGGGCAAAGTGAACACTCAGGAGCTCAACTGATCAACACAATCAATTAATAAAAAGAAGCAACGCTGACCCAGCCAGTGTGCTGTCGTCACACTCCTATCTGTCGTCAGACTCCTGACGTCAGACTCCTATCTGACGTCACGCCGTGCCCACAAAGGGCGTCAGAGTTCAAGTTACTCCGAGGAGGGAGCCGGGGAGGACAGAGCCGGTGGGCAAGCTGCCTGGTCCAGGGCTCAGGTCCAAGCAACAGCCTCCGGCTCAATATTGTGCTCAAAGGCAATCAGCTTCTTCCTTTCTTTTTTTCAGGTTTTTCCTTTTCCCTTTTGCGTTCAAGATGAACCCCGAAGGGTGAGCGGATCGCAGTTCCCAGTTGTTTTAACCATGATGTTTGCTTGGGCCTCAGACTCGCTTATACAGAATAAAACTGCCCTGCAGTAGGCCCGTCGCCCCGGGGAGGACCGGCCGGAGGGGAGGGGAGTCAGCCGACACTGAACCGGCGGATCTGAAGACATAAACCCTTTCCATGACAGAGCCGGCATCGAGGGGGGGCTTTCTCACAACACCCGCAAGTGTTTCCGGGGCCCACGTCCCCCACTCCCCCCCAAACAGACAGACCCTATGGGAGAATGCGGGGCAGCCGGGCTCCAGCGACGACAGCTGGTGACGCGGACACGCAGCGAAGCCTCGAGTTGGCACCTGCAAGTCCCGTCCCTACACCCCGGCACCGCACGGTCTCTCTGCGGGGACAGACCCCGCTCGGACGCTGTTCCCACTGCCCGTGGGGAAGGGGGTGCTCCAAAGACGCCCCAAATGCCGCCTGCGCTGCCGGGGCGGAGGGCGGCCCTGCCCTGGCCCGGA